TATTCTAGGAGTTTATGTTTTTCAAAATACAAGGTCTTTAACAAAAAATAACGAATACTTATTGTCGTCGGATTAACACCAAATTTTCACAGCTTTAAGGTGACAATGAGAGGAACTTGAATGTGTCCAGACAAACTATTTCATGGATTATTTACCAATGTGTTGTGGTTTGAGTTGGGGGCAATGTGACTAAAACAGAAATTAAAATTCAGGACACTATTTTTCAAAACGCGTTACTTGAATAAAATTGAAAACAAAACTTATTATCACCAGCATAAATGCGTAATTATTTTTTTTACAAAAAAAGTAATTTTTCACTTTTGATTAAGTAACGCATCGTAGAATGCAGATACGGGCATGACAAACACACTTTTGAAAAGCTTGAAGTCTGGCGATTCCAAAAATATGTACTTTCCTGGGTCTATTTGTAGTCGTTTGGTCCCAATTAGAAGATGAAAACAAGTATGCAAATAATAGTCCCGCTACCTTAAACAGAACACGGAACTAAATTGCAACACAGTCACTCTAGTAGAGGGACTGTGGACTGTGATTGCAATGAAAATTTGTGATTTCAATTTTGGAAACGATATATAGTTTACAATTACAGCGTCTTTATTATATTTATTAGAGGTCATTAGTAGGCATAATTTAATTTCTAATCATGGAATGATATCAATGTTGAGTAAGGAATGAATAGTGCAAAGTGTCGGTCAGTGGTGTGTAAGTGGTTTCAATTTTACGGCGTGGAACAAAACTCATTTTGCCAATCACTTCTCATGTGCCAAGAAATTTTTCTTACGTACACTACATACGTACAGCTCAGTGCATGCTGGTGCGATATCACAGGAAATTTAAACGAATATTGTTTTGATTTTTTTGTTTTCCTCGCTGACAAACGAAAACAAAACGGGAAGCTCACATTCGGATACGGGGTTTCCAGTTCATCTTTTCTATAAGGCAACAGTTCATTTGTTACAGAGCAGTTTCTATAGAATCCATGATTTTACTAGTAATTAACACATTGTTTGTTTCTTGCTAATTAGTACCTTTGTTTCGAAAAAATAAAACTTGTTTGATTACAGCGCCCCCAACGATCTAAGTTCGAAAGAGGCGATCGTTTCATTCATTGAAGACGAGGCTTGCTAGTTGTTTGGGTTTTGATACACGGAGGCCATATTGGATATATCAGCGATTGCGCTGTGTAGGTTGCTGCTTTTGTGTTTGTCGGTAATCTATAAACATCGGCGTCAGTTCTGGTTGAATCTGATCGAAATCTGTATATTATCACAGACTAACAAGTGGCACCTCTCCTAAGTTATTTTTTGTGCGGATTGTTTGTGTCTGGTGCTGGATTTCGTGGCGTAAAGTGCCAACAAATTTCACGGAGTTGAAAATGGCCTGTGGAGCGACGCTGAAGCGGACATTAGATTTTGATCCTTTGCATAGTCCTTCGCCGTCACCAAAAAGGAGACGATGTGTGCCTATTATACCACCAACTACACCACAGACCAAGGCACACAAACTAGAACCTTCGCCCTTTGGCCAGGTTTCGCCGAAATTGACACCAGGTAAGACGAAAGTGGGACAAAGAAGTCCACGAACAGTGTATGTGGTTTCCACCGAAGAACCGTTTCAAAATGGCGTCGTTTGATTGGAAGTTTTGCCGTATTTAAGTTGAAAATATTTCCCTATATTTCGTTCAATCAGCTTGGAGTCACAAACTGGGCGGCGAGAGAAACAAGATGATAATAACTGTTATTATAAATTTAAATAAACTGTATCAATTGCTGTTGGCAGACGACAAATGACCGAGTCTCGTGCAAAAATACTGTTCGAAAGATTCCAAGCTAAACTAAGAGGCATAGATTAATCTGCGTTCTCATTTTCCGTATAAACATGCACTTTTACTATTATATCTCTAGTGTTCGCCATTCGGAACTGAAACAAAGCACCACTGTTTTTTTTTAAAACAAATGCTTGTTGTGTCTGTAACGGTCTCTGTTTGAACACTGCGAAAAACAACACGTCGGTACTTTAACGTTTTGGCAAGAATGATGTTATATCCACAAAACATTTGTAGTACGTAATCTCGCAAACTGTTTCTTTTCTTTTTTCGGCGTTTTTTTTATATTTATTTCGCAATGTTTAAGAAAATTGATTGTTTTGAAACTGTACAATGACTTGCCTTGTTGATTGAGATGCAAATTTACCGGCCTCTCCCATCTTTTTTCTCATCATTGCTTTGTGTACAGTTGTTAAGACTTGAGGCTAAGTGATTAGGATGGTGATGCTTTGCTTAGCTTTTTGGACAAGGATAGAATAAAATTTCCAGCATGTCATAAAACTCTTATGATAGGCAGCATTCGATTTAATTTTTTCATTCAATTTGAAAAGTAACATTTCCGCATTGCCGTATGGCTTCCTTACAGAGCAACTGTCCAACAGCGTTCTGTTGGAATATAAACGGATGCAAAGAAGAAAGAAACTTGCTACTGCATTTACAAGCGGTGGCGGTAGTAGTTGCAGTACTTCCACATACCCAGCACCAGGTCCTTCACATCAGCAGCAGCAGTCGGCGGCGGCGACAGCAGCAACACAAATGTCACACCCATCCTATCTCAGCCAGCACGTGCAATTGTTAGCAATGTCTCCAGTTGCTTCAACGTCAACATCTCCCAGTTCTTCACCATCACGTAGAGAACAGCCTATATTTACATTGAGACAAGTGATCATGCTCTGTGAAAGATTACTCAAAGAACGTGAAGAGCAAATAAAAGCAGAATATGATAAAACTTTGACATGCAAACTTGCAGGTGAGCAAGATTTATTTTTTGCTTTTAATAGAATTTGTGCATACTGTGGAAATGGGTGTGCGTGATTGACATCAGTCTGTTGCAGTCCCCATGCTATTGTGTATTCACATGCAAACACCAAACTGACAAGAACCTCTAATTAATAATTAATGTTTGTAATGCATGTTGTGTTATCTGATGATTGTCTGCATAATTAATTTCGTTGTCATAAAGACTGCCATCTCTTGAATGCAGTATATTGGGCATGTTCATTGTAATTAAAACAAATGTCAAGTTGCATTTCAGCCTGCAAACAAGTAATTGATGCAAAAGCAAAAGATTTTTTTTATTTGGCGTTTCCCATATAACCCATGTACATGTTATGTAACCATGCACAAGTTAATCTTCATAAAAAAAATCTAGTTGTGTAGTTATTGCTAGTTCAGTTCTTTGTTTGAAAATCTGTTGCCACTAGAGCCTTTAATCCATTGACAGCACTAGAAAATCTCCGTAGACCTGAAGTGCCTGAGGGCTCTTTGCACAGATTGACAAGAGACAAAGAACAGTTTGGCTGAAAATTGGAGCGTATCTCTGCATAAAGCCCTGTGTACATTGTGTGCATGTCTGGATTTCTCAAGAGCGTTGTGTTCATTTTAATATGCTGTTCGACGGGATATTGTACTTTGCATACTGAGTCAATGTTGCTTCATATACAGTATTTTTTCCTTGAGCCTGAATGTTTAGACCATCCGCTCCTCGGTACATACAAGAAGGTGACTTAATACAAGTTTCATAATTTCATAATATTAATAAATTTCTTATTTATGAATTTTTTTAAATGTTATTTTTGATTATAGAACAATACGAAGCTTTCCTGAAGTTCAATCATGATCAGCTTCACAGACGATTTGGAGAGACAGCTGCTAGCTGTAAGTACTGTAACATATTTTTTTTTTGGTCTCAGATTGTAACATGTTTCTCCCCGACAGTTATACAGCATGTCACTATTACTAATTAGCTATTCCATTCCCAAGGCAGGCAGGAATGAAGGCGCTACATTTTGTCATGCACTCAGTTTGATGCATATGTTTATTTCTTCCTAACTGGTATAGGGATTTGCTCTATTAAAAGCACATCTCCAATAGATGGACATAAAACACCAAATCACATTTGTTACATACCAAATCATTAAAATACAACTTATTTTGACCATAGAAACGCCTGTCATTTACCCAAGTTTTTCATGCTGGGTTATAATATTAAGTAAAAATTATCTGTAATAGAGCGTTACATTTGCCATATCCAATCAAACTGTACTCTAACCAAAAATTCACATTTATTCTATACTAGATCATTAAAATGTATGTAATTAGACCCAGTCACAGATGGGGGAGGCTTGTGGATTTGGTTCTGTTCATGTGTCCATCTGTGTGTGCGCTTGTCGCATATTCCAAAATGCGAGATCTCTTTTTAACGAAATATCTTGGGACAAATTGTTAAGTGTAATGTGCAGTGGTTCAGCAAGTTTCTTTACAATTCATGAACCTTTAAGGGTATTTTTATATAAAAAAAATTAAAAACAAATAAGGTAAAATTATGTTTTTACCTGTTATTGGCAATTTAATACAATACATTACATATGTTGATGTTTTAAGGGTGTCAAGCCAAAAGAATATATAAAACTATATACTCGTTATTATAAGACAAAGCTTCAAGGGAAGGGTTTTGTGGTTCAAGTTTATTTCTAGGAGTCTAAATTGGAAATTCACACACTACTTTGTCTTGTCTAAAAAAAAATTCAGTTGCTTCTCAAGGGTATTAAAGAACGTCCAGAAAATTAAAGTGCTGACAGATTCTTGATATTTTGCTCAGCAAAAGGATCCATCAGATAAATGGAAAACAACAAAAGGGTCTAGGGAAACTTGTTTCCATGGAAACAGTGTATTTCTGATTTACTTTCATGGGGTTATGCTCTAATCTGGTAGTGGTGTGATCATTTTGAATTGGAAATTGTTCAAAAAAAATACAAATTGGTGTTGTAATTTTGGCGTCTTGTAAGTGTTCACAGGGAATAAGCTAAATTTCAGGAAATTCCTTTGTCAAAAATGGCACTATATAGTTGATTCAAATATAAGGATACTAATGATATAAATCTATATCTACCTTATTCATCTAAGATTTTTGCTGATATGTAAAATTCTTACTAATAAGTTTTCATTCTTTTCAGATGTTTCATAAGGAGCCGTTTCCTGTATGCATACTTCCGTTTGAAGGTGTTTTTTTCTAATTCCTTCTGTGTTTGATGATGAATGACATTTCCAACAATGACTTGTGGATAAGATAAATGGCGTGAGAAATGCCACTATTTGACATTCAGTCCAATAATAAATTTACACAGGGCCAGTTTTACAATAGAAGAAGTTTTGTAACAGTAGATTCATTGTTGTATCCTCCACTGATAATTGACTATTTACTGCCAAACCTATTTTTTGCACCCTTCAAATTACTTGTTTTTCATTATAAAATTGACATAAAAGGAGTTGTCCCCGAATTTGCTGCATATCTATTTTCCTGCATTAAAGTGATCAGGCAGTATTTCAACATATGTTCGTATTATAATGGTTATTTTTTTTTTTGATCTCTGACGAATTGTATTGATTCAATATTTGATGCATCTGTTCCGGACCCTTATTGTTGAATCGGAGATTAAAACTAATTCTAAAAACCATGTATGGTCCTAGTATTAAATATCACTCACAATCGTACAGCCCCCCCCCCCCCCCCCCCCCCAATCGCCGGTCCTCTGCTATGCAAATCAAGATATTGTTTATGGGACATTATCAGTGCGAACAAGAACTGTTCGTAATTTTTTTTTTGCCTGTCCTAAGCTGTTGAAAAATATTATTCAAGTACATGCTGAATAATAAGATTAATATCACCAATTTTGTATACAAAATTAGGCCTTGAAAACATGTTGGTGACATGCTGCGCTTTATTCTGATGAGCCTTTGTTTGACTGTACACAGTGCATGCAGTCTTCTGTTCAAAAGTGTACAAACTACCGTTTTGATTTCATCTTTTTATTGATTTTATTAGACATGTGTAGTAAAGTAGATTAGACTATGTTGTATTGCTTAAAGTCTACCTATATTTAGCAAAGTTTGTTCTGTACATAACGTAACATTGTTGAGCATTGAGTTTTCAATAAAGTTTATGGGTTAAATAAGTTGGAGTTATTCAATTCTTCGTGCAGTTAGTGATGAATGTTAGTTTTGAGTAGTGTTTAAAATTTTCATTCTTACAGGGTTGAGATCATGTTGCCCAGGCAGATAATCTATTCAATAACTTAAGGTAGCGGGACTATTATTTGCATACTTGTTTTCATCTTCTAATTGGGACCAAACGACTACAAATAGACCCAGGAAAGTATATATTTTTAGAATCGCCAGACTTCAGATTTTCACAAGTGTATTTTGCATGCC